GGCGGCGCGGCGGTGCACATCTCCGCCGCCGGCGCTGCCAAGGCCACCCTCTACTGCCGCGTCTTCCTGCTCGACGGGACCGAAGTGAGCGTGGACCTGCCGGTGAGTGACGGGGCCAGTCCCGGGTACTGGCACCCCGCGCCCCTTGGGGCAGCTCCTCACCCCACATGCTTTTCCTCTGGGGCGCTCCCCTAGCACCTTTCCGCGATCCTCTCCCCCTTCTGCGAGCACCCCTTAACCCTGGTTTTCCCTTTGGACCACCCGGTCCCGGTCTCTTTCGAGGCCCCATCCCTGGCCGGTGCCCTCTCCTTGAAACATTGCACTGCTGGGTAGCACCTTTTCTGGTTCCCACCTCATCCTTTGGGTCTCACCCCTCCCCATTGCACGAGTTTCCTCGTCTCTGCCCCCTGGCGCGGTGACCGGTGTTCCCCTTCGCGCCCCTTGATTCCTGCGGGGGTTTCTTGGTGCTGGGTTGTTGGTTAGAAAATCTCAAAGCAATGCAAGGCTGCCCTGGCATGAACCGCTTGCCCCCGCAAAGCCCCCACCAGGCCTGCTACTCTGCAGGTGCCTGAAGTTTGGGAGGGAGTCAGGGGAACAATTCTATTCTCTCTTGATTCCCTCTCGGTGCTCCTCCACTACCTCCGCTCCCCCGTTCCTTATCCCAGAGATCCCCTATAGCCCACAACCTCACAGGGGGTTGGGCGACTTGGGCGCTAACTCTAGAATCGACTCTCTTGGACCTGACCAACTTTGCGCCGGGCAGAGACCTTACTGGGGCACTGGGAGTCCTCCCCAGGGCCCCCACGGGGCCTGGAGCACCGGACTTTCCCCTCAGGCAACGTGTGTGGGGCAGCCGAGGCACCCCAGGGTGGCGGCGGCGCCGGGGCTGAGCCAGCCACTCGCCCACAGGTGGTTGCACCCCGCCCTCCTCCAGCAGAGAGAGCTAGGCCGGCTGTCCCCGCCAGGGCATCCGGCTACCTACCTACGTGTCTTTCTAGCCAAGGGGCCAGATCTGGTCAGATCAAATCTGCACATTAATGGGGCGCCTACTGTGCACCCCACGCTGCGGCAGACGGTGCCTTTGGGAATCTTTGGGTGTGACTAAGGACACAGCAATGAATGAGCTTTAGATGAATGTTACAGATCACCTCGAAGGTTTCCAGGGAAAAATAATAACATACCTGGACTTCCAAAAAAAGCATTTAGGCCTTCTTGGGTGGGGGAAATTCTTTGGACTTTGCGAGGGAACTAGGAACATGTAAGGGTTTTAGATGGGAAAATCAGAGCCTGCCTGGCCCGGGGTTTAATGCTTCCCTGTGTAGGTTTAATTTTGAGACAGTTTCAATTTATGGCAATTTTATTTTTGTGGCTCCTAGTTCTCTCCGTAGGATATCATTTTGTTATGATAATACCCATTTGGGTTTGGTTTTTTTTATTCATAGAAAAGGAGCCAACATTCCAGTTCTTAGAGTTGTCTAAAATAGCATTAAAATGTTACTGCTGCCGGCGATTGAGGCTCTCCAGCTTTTATTCAGCTGGGAAAGGAGGCCCGAAGAACCAGGAGGAGTGGGCAGCTCGCGGGTGAAGAGAATGTGGCGTATTTTGCATCTTGGATCTGGAAAAGGGATGCTCTCCTTGGGAACTTTGACATTGCTCCTTGCTGATGGTTTTCTTCTGTCTTTTCCCCCAAGGATGGTTCATTAATAAAATGTATTGCTTCTGTCAGGTTTGAGCGACAGGCTTAAGTGGTGTTTCTGAGATGAAAGATGCAAACTGAGTAAAGTGCATGCATGGTGAATAGACTCAACAAACAAGGTACACACATGAACAGGTCACAGGAGGAATTACAGCTGGTGGAGCCCTCATTGGAGGGGGGTGTATTTGCATCCTAAAAGGCTTCTTCACTATTAAAGGCTACTTACAAAAAAATTCACTGGGTTTTCTTATGATCGTAGATTTCTTGATACTTTAAGATGTGATTCACCGAATCCCACATTTTATTTATACAGAAATACACACACATACACACACACTGTCCAAAGGCAAATAAAAAGCAAACGCTCAGTTTTGTTATGTGAGCCCTCGGGGAGGAAAGTTGAAGAAAAATCACCAGTGAGCAAGGCTCATCGAATTAAAGATTTAGTAGATATTAGAACTGCACCACAATCTCCTACGCTCGTCTTTCCAGATCAGAGTCTTAGTTCTTGTAATTAATTCTGGGAGTTACGAGGTTAATGCCAAGCATCTAGCTCCCCATGAACTTGCAGCATGTGCCCCTTCAGACCCATTTCACTGGGCTCCCTTTTCATGCTGACCTTTCTGGCATTTGGCCCCACTTGTCATTATTCTCCTCTTCTGCATCCCTGGATTTTTTATCGCTTCTTGGGCTCTGGTGTTGCATGGCTGCCTGACGCACAGATAGGATTTACCTTTGACCGCCATATCCCTAAGCCGGATTTTTTGTCTCCAGTCGCTTCCACAGGCACTCAGTGCACTTGCCAGGCTAACTATGGCTCCTTTGTAATTAAAACTCTCTGGTGGTGTTAGCTTCAAGAATTCCTTTACTAAGCATACTAAAAGTGGTTATGCATCGTCATAAGCCATTTTATTAGCCCTGTTCAGGATGCTTGTGTTCTGAAACTGCCTTGAATACAACACCCCCTGCTCAATGTGACTGTGCCAGGGCTCCTCAGCTTTCAGTTCAGTCGGCACTTTTTGGGTGTCTCCAGTGTGCCAGGCACTGTGCTATGGACACAAAGGTGAATGAGAGATGGCTTTGGGACTCTTGGGAAACAGATGGAGACACATTTTTTTCATTCCAAGTGATGCTAAGTGATATGACACACTCACCCAGACAGGGTGCTGGGGATGGACAGGCTGGGCGAATTGGGAGGATTTCCTGGAGACTTTGACACTTGAGATGATAGGATCTCAAATACAATGTCTCTTGTGCATTTTTAGAATACCTGTTGTGTTAAGTCCACTTCTTGGCCAAGCCACAGCCCATTCGTTACAGCTAATAAGGGGAGAAGCAACTGCAGCTGTCTTCTCCAGCCATCCTCCTTTGACAGGGCCTGGAGCCCCCTTGTCTGTTGGTGGGCTGTGTCCCCTAGCATGCCTGAGTGTTCTTAACCTTTGCCGTGGATAGTCACTGGTTTCCCAATCTTTGATAACATGTGAATAAAAAGATCTTCTTTAAAAATCCATCTACAACATGCAGTCTAAAGTGGGTTGGCTTTACAGACCAGCTTCCAAGGGAGTCCTTGGCTCACCCTTCCAACCAGAGAGCCACTCTGAGCCATTCCTTTTCAGAAAACCTGATCTTGCCTTGGAAGTTGCCTCTCTCTCCTTAGCCCAGCCCTACCCAGCCCTCAGGTGTGGTCTGTTCAGAGTAGGGCAAGACTCCCTCGGCCTGCCCTAGACACTTTCCTTCTATTAATGCAGCTGAAGATCTCATTAGTGTGCTTGGCAGCAGCACCCACTGTTGACTCATATTAGCTCTCTGTTGACTAAATCCCTGGCATCGATTTTGCTCGTGCGGCTGTTGCTCAGTCCCGTCTCCCCCCACCCCTGCGTGCACAGTCTTCCAGCAGCTCTGTGTACAAAGCTGTTAGGATGTGTGGCTGGCTGGTTAGCACTCCCACTATGCCTCGGAGGGCATGGCTTTGTTGGCCAGTGTTGCATCTGGCGCAGTCGCTCTCATTGTCTCTGGAACTCCACGTTGACTCATCATGGCGCAGTGGCAAACGTGGAGAGTTTCAGGATCAGCAGAGCCATGTTTGAGTCTTGTAGGCTGGCTGTGCAGCCTTGGGCAACTTCACCTCTCTGAGCCTTGATTTTCTGGTCTTTAAAATGGGGATGCTGGAGTCTACGGCCATGCCACCCTGAACAAGCCCGATCCCATCTGATCTCGGAAGCTAAGCAGGGTCAGACCTGGTTAGTACTTGAATGGAAGACCACCTAGGAAGACCAGGTGCTGTAGGCATAAAAAAATAAGGGATTGTAAGCTCACAAGGTCCTTGCAATCTGTGAGGTCAAACCAAGGGTTGCCTCGCCTAAAAAAATAAATAATAAATAAAATAAAAAATTTAAAAAGGGGATGTTGGAAGGATTACATGACAAGAATATAAACAGCCTCAGTAAATGGCAGGTTGTAATCTTATGTCTCATGCATTCTCTTTGGTCTATGGCAAGGGCTTGGAAAAATATCTAGGAATGGACATTAAAGAAAAGAAAAAAGCTGTGCCAAGAAGGCTACACATTGCTCGTCTCTCCTTTGGTGGAAATTGGAAGTTGGATGTCGTGTGAGAGATGGGTTTTAAAAGTTTCACTTTGGGTGAGAAAAGAATGCCCCTCCCCCCAAATGAATAGAAAAATGCAGATTCTTCGGATTTTAGGATTGGAACCTCTGGTCCAACAGAACATCCTGATACAGCATAAAGGTCACATGCCTTATTTTGGAGTTGAAAGAGACCCTAGACAGAGCATATCCCATCCATTATGTATGTGGGAAACTGAGGCCTGTGGATAAGAAGTGACTTTCCTGTGGTCATTCAGTGAAGAGTTGGTATGGTCTACTTTAGGAACCTCAGTTGTCTGGCCTTTGGACGTGAGCGTAGGATCAGCAGTAGGAAGAAGACGGACCCCTAGTCCTAACACAGCCTCTTGGCAGGACGGTGGGATATGTTCCTGGCAGTTGGAAGTAGGACACGTTTACCTAAACAGTGGGAAACTCTAGCAAAATGGTCCTCTAATTTCAGTGTACCGAAAGTTTCATCTGGGATTGTCTTTTCTCCAGTTAAAATTCCCAGAGCCCGTTCCCAGAATTTCTCATTCCTTAGTTCAGAAAGCTGGACTTTTAACAAGCACCCCAGGTGATTCTGAGGAAGGTTCCTTCACACCCTTTGAAAAACCCTGGCTTCAGTACTGTGAGAGCTGTAGGCAATTGGGAGGAGTGGCGGTAGGGTGTCTCTGGACATCTTTGAACTAAGGGTTGATAGTGCCACACCTGAGCTTTAGGGAGCCCATTTTCACCACAGCAGACTGGAGGCTGGGCAGGACGGGGGACTGGAGACCAGTTGTGCTGTTGCAGTAGTCCAGGT